CTAAAATATAATCTATCAATACGTCTTCAGAATTCTTAATCTCCAGAAGGAATAAAATAATAGGAAGAGAGAAAAAATTCCTCTGCTCATTTTTTTATTTTGCTTCTTTTTATTTTTATTTTTATCTATTTATTTATTCTTTCCTCTCCCAAATTGGATGTACCATCACGACACAATTGTCAACGTTATTTTTCCTTTTGCGTATCCAAAACCAAATTACTATCGAATTGCCTGGAGCTGTGACGTCACATTTTCATCCCCAGAATATTCCTATAAGTACAATTCCTCTTCTAAATGCCAGTTTAGGTAATTTTCGTCACATGCTATTTTTCTCTCTTTCCCTCCCCCAATTTGAATTCCATCTCCCACTTTAATTTCGTCCTGGTTGCTAGGAAAATCGAAGCAGAGAATTAGATACGCTATGAATGGAAATTTAGAGCATAAACTGAAACGAAATTTGGTAAGATAGCGAAATATAAAGGTTTTTATACGAATATATTGCCGAGAGAAATATCAATTTACTTTAACTGTTGGCATATAAACTGGCTGTTGTGTGGAAGTGACCGTTATTCGGAGGTTATGTCAAAAGATGGCCGCCGTCGTTGTGAGGTGACCATTATATGTATAGACTCTAAAGCATAAGTGAAGAGCTAACTTGTGTATGCACATATTAATTAATACTGTATACAGTATGTGTATAATCGATATGGTATATAAATAGGTTTACTATATACATATTGTACGTTAAATTGATTTATTTAGGTACCAATAAAGCTATAGCACAGACGTTTCTATGCGTATTAGATGTACTACTGTATATATTATTTCCTGCATTGATATTCTATTAACCTGGCTTACATTTAGTATATATTTTATACTTTTATAATATAAAGCTATAACAGGTTTAGAAAGTAAACGTAAAGTGTACTCCAATATGTGCTTTACTGTATATTATCATAAACACGTACTGTACAGTCGAACTTCTAAACAACGGCCGTTGACGGGAACATAAAAACTGGCCGTCATTTGGAGGTTATTTTTTATCCATTTAAAAGAGAAAGATTTCTGAGAAAATGGCCGCCGTTTAGGAATGACCGTTATTGGAGGTTCGACTATATTAATTTATAGCTCAAGAACTCAAGATTTATTTTTAAATTTTTTAAAATTTAAATTATGTTAAAGGAATTTCGGAGAGAAATTCTTGTTGATAATGTCATGGGATAATGGATTATGTTTATGATTATACATAAATTCTACTTAACATTTAATTACTTTAGGAGTTAAATTCATTAAAAGTAGTAAGAGAAATTAATGATTATCACCTGTAAAATAAAAGTTTACTGCAGAGTTTAAATGATTTATAACTATTAATATTTCTTAACAGTTTGAAAGGTCTTATCCATCTAAAGATGTTGCAAATAAATTTATTAACGAACATTTAAGGCGTTAAAATTATGTTAAAAATAACAATTTGGAAGGTGAACTTGATGGTTCTTAACCTGTTTTGCTCATCGATTCCTTTCCAAAATTGGATTTAAATTGTCCACTCCTTTCTACGGATCCAAAATAAGAAAAAAATTACAAATAGCATGAAATAAAAATTTATTTTTATAATATTTGTCCACTGACTTCCAAGTGACCTTCAATAATATATTGACCCTCAGATAAATTATTTGACCTCTCGGGGTGGTTAACAACCATGTTGGAATCCTCTTTAATATTTTAAATTGCTACGTTTCTAAGTATAACATATAGTGCCAGATTGCCCACTAGGCACGTGAGGCGTACCTAGTGAGCAATCTGAAAGCCTCGGATCTAGAAGGCCTCAAAATTTATCCACTTATTGTAATTGTTAAATGATTCTAAAGCTGCAACTAGACGTTTATTGTAAAATTATATAAGAATATAAGGGCCTCTTCTATGCCTAGGGGCCTCGTAAGGTTTTAATCTGCCATTGTTAACACGCTGCAAAATTTCAAGCCATAGTTGCAAGCATACAAATCCGACTTACCTTGAATTTACCTGTATAACTGTTATCTAAAAATAGAACTAAAGGAAACTAGATCGAAATTGGTTTTGGTCTTAGATCGATAAGAAAAAGCTGCGACACTTCGATATTTTTTTATTTTTTTATTTTTTATTATTTCTTATAGAAAGTGCATCTTTTTTCATCTTTACTATCTCAACCATGATTGAACATATTTCAAACTTGACAGTTGCTTCACATATACGATTGAAATACGACAGCTGCACTACATCGTATATCTTATTTTAAAACATATATCATACATAAATTATTATCTTGTATATTCCCTATTATAAAACTAGATTTATGTCACTCGTTTATCTTCCGAATATGACTTCTTTTTTTTCTAATGTAAATGGAGTATAAATGTTTTGATTTGGGAAACATTTCGTTAACGTTATGACTACTAAAGGAAATTCGTCGTTGTTCTTATTACTTTCCTGGATGCCATATATAACAGAAGAAATGTATGATGATCGGTCAAAAAAATTACCTCCATTTTTAGACTCAGGGGGCATTGAAACATCGAGAAATTCAAAAAAATTCGGGGGTAATTTCTGTATGGGGAAGTACGATTTTGTTCACCTTTAAAACTTAATAACTCATGTGCTTTTTGTCGAAAATTTCTCAAATTTTGCAGGGAGGTTTGTTTATTAGGGGATTGATGATGTTAAATTTTAGTGGTTAAAGGTTTGAAGGAGTGGGGAGATAAAGGGGGTTCAAGTGTATCTCCAGTAGGAACTTAATGACAATTTGATTTGATTTACTAGCATTTACAATTTTTTTTATAAAACCAATCCCTACCCTCAAAATTAAGCTTTTTTTATTGTACAGTACAATAGATAAAAATATAAAAAGATTTTAAAATAAAATATCATAATAGATTGCACCACACATGCAGTTTTAAATGTTGCCGGGAAAGTTAAGCAACTCGTTTCTGGATATTTTTTTTCCTGGAGTGTCCAATCGATGCCACATCTATTTGGATATAGCCCACTTTTTTACAGTAGTAGAACGAACATAAGTCAAAGCTTATCTTGCTCCATCCCAATTGATGGCGTGAAGCGAGCAAAGTCATCACTTCGTTCCTAATTTCTTAACATTAGATACGTCTGGAGACTTATCCCAATTTATTTTAATGAACCGTACTTGCAATAACATCACACGATCCTATTCTTTAAGTTCCTCATCAGACAGAATCTACCAAGCAATTTTGAAACCACATAATCGTTCGAGTTTCACGGAAAATTTGACTTTAGGCTCTTCAATTTCTAATTACGCCATTTAAATTTGTCTCTCGTGACCTCGTATGTTACTGTACAACTCTATTAAAGCGAGAACAAACGAACTGCATCTGTAATAATGTATTGCATCAGGGAATCTGGTAAAAATTTTTCTTCATCTACTTCCTCTTTCCACGACTCCAGTAGATGAAACGTTGCTAACCTTTCTTAAATCTGCCTTGGTAATTTGGAAGGAGAGAGACAAATCAATAAAATTTGCACTCCTAGACGTGAATATCCCATTTTAATATGCATTTTTTCCGCATCTTTCATCTCAGAAATCGAAATTTAAATCTTTAAAATGAAGGAAAGTGCTTAAGAAAAAAAAGTACAACTGTACAAAGTAAAATCTGTTAAATATTAAATAATTTTTAAGTTTAAGTGCTTAAAAGTTTAATTTTTAAGCAAAAAAAGATATATTTATATAAAAATAACTGCTACAAATTTATATCATTTTAATGAATAAACGGATTATATTCAATGTAGATTAATGCAAAATCAATGCATTTTGTTTTAAATTTAACGTTTAAAAATTTATTTAATTAATATTTAGACAGGAAATTCTTTATCTATATTAAAAAAAATAGAAAAAAAATTACCTTCAAAACTATTTTTTAAAATTTAAATTATGTTAAAGGAATTTCGGAGAGAAATTCTTGTTGATAATGTCATGGGATAATGGATTATGTTTATGATTATACATAAATTCTACTTAACATTTAATTACTTTAGGAGTTAAATTCATTAAAAGTAGTAAGAGAAATTAATGATTATCACCTNCCGCTTTTAGTGGGAATTTAAATGGAGATTTAGTTTTTGGTTTGGGCGATCTACTGAGGGAATAGTTTTTAATAGGAACTGCCCCCCTATTTAGATGTTACTAACGTGAATAATCCGGAAAACTCTACGTAGACAGCCCTTTGGCGAGACACGAACCCACAACAAACTACCAGTGTTTAATGGTTTTATCCACTCGGCCGCTGGTGGACTGTTTAGGGTTGTTTTAAAGTTACCAAATTGAGGCGAAATCACAGGTTTGAATCCCAGTTTGTGCTTGGCAAATTTTAACGGAAATTGTTATTTGGGAGGTGTTTTAAAGTCACTAAAATGAATGGCGTTGCACTGAAAATTGAAAGAAATTATTTTTATTTTTAATCAATAATCGCGTCGCTTCTTATAAGCGAATCGTTTTTATCTTACACTTTTCTTTAAATTTTCTATTAATTTAAAGATATGGTAACGTTTTCTATAATTTTTAAGTATAAAACTATTATAATATAGCATATGTTAACGTAATTCTCGTTACTTGTAAAAGAATAATAAACCCATTAAATGATAGAGATGGATCCTTACAGAGATGGATTTCCTCTCAAAATTAAACTATTGTATGACTATTTTCAGTATTCCGTGGCACGAATCCGGTATCGATCCTAACACAGAAGAGCATAATTCTTATTTAGAAAAGTTCTCTGATGTATTTATGTCGAGTATAAAATCTTCGATATCTGATGTTGTGGCAAGTCCTGACTGGATAAGCTTTACAGATATATGAAATAAGTTGAAGAAAATTGAATGGGATACGAAAAGAAATGAGGTGAGAAAAATGATGAATGGGATGGAAAGTGAGGTAGATTTGGTAAGGAAGTCAATAAGACGTGAGGAAGAATGGGTGAATAGAGTTTACNTAACACAGAAGAGCATAATTCTTATTTAGAAAAGTTCTCTGATGTATTTATGTCGAGTATAAAATCTTCGATATCTGATGTTGTGGCAAGTCCTGACTGGGAAGAATTCCCTGAAGATTTAAGAAAAACTGTTAAAGTAAATGTTTTTCCTGTTTTATAATACAGCTTTAACATTCCATATCCTATATATCTTCATTAAATTTTAATCTTAAGGATTATTTTTATATATTTTATTCATAAATCCTTTCTAAAATAGACTAGTTACGTAAATGGCCATAGTGTCGTTTAGTATTAAAAATTAATGGCGCGAGTCTTGCATTTATTTTATTTTAGCTTATTTTTAATTTATTTTTATTCTTATAAATTAATAAATTACCAAAAAAATCTGGATTTAGAATCTCTTATCAATTAATAACGCAGGATAATTATTCACGTATTATATATTTATATTAAGTTTAAGTATACTTAAAACCTTTTGTTGCTTTAATTTTGTTTGTTTAATTGCGTTATATTTTGTTTAATTCACTAAAGAATTACAATTTACAGATTATGTCATTTAAATTATAATGTTTCTTCCTCATATATCTGTGTTTAAAATTTCCGAAACGTGTACGAAATTCATAACTTCAAGTATTGTACTTAAGATAATTAATACATTAATTATGTTATGTAATATATTGTTTAGTTCGTTAATTACATTCGGAATAACTAGAGGAAGCTTGAATTAACTATAACAATTAGAAAAGATAATACGTAAATAGGAAAGACGATAGCTTCCAAAGGAATTTACTGCATTTACAGAACTTTCATTCATTACAGGAAATTTCGAATGAATCCCAAGCTCATTTGTGCAATTGTCGAGGGAACCTACAAGTTTTGGGAGTTGCACAGTCCTTAGACAGCGACTTTGGTCCACTGATTCAGATCCAACAATTAATGATGACAGATGATAGAATTCGTCACACTCCAATAATCATCAGTGGACCGGCTGGATGCGGAAAATCTACTCTTCTTTCCCAGGTATCTGTTTGAATTCCTTCGTCTTTTGATGTCTTATTACACAAATTGATTTTCTTTTCATTAGTAATTTCAAAGGATTTTGATATATTTGCATGACTTATTAATATAATGATTTAATTAAATTTCATATTCTCCGGCAAAAATTATGTTATCTTTAACACAATGTGTTCATCAACTTAAGCATGAACCAATCTGTATAGTTTAAATACAAAGTAATACTAGTAGCCATTACTTACGAGTATGTACGAGTATTTACAGCATGTTGAAAACGATGCCCATCCATTTTAATATACAGTATTTATCAACACGCTTCATCATGTTCCTAGAAAGGATATCCTTTTCATGATAGCATTGGTCATGTTAACCTTCACCTTCTCACAGGCGTGTGTGTGAGTTTCTCGTGCAGACAATGTCTTGACAAAACAGATAAAAAAGCCCAGTCATCTAAAAATGAGATTTTTACCAAAACATTCCTGCAATGTCTCTAGTAAAGTAACGTTGTGACAAGTTGCACTGTTCTGCAGAGACCAGTCATCACGCTCGTTCTCTTTCAGTGAGGCAATAAACTGTTAGATGATTTCTTGATAGGTTTCAGCATTCGGGGTAGAAATAACAAGGGTCCTGTTATTCGTCCCTTGAAAACAGCAAACCATACGTTGTTTTTTTTGTATAGAAGAGATTTGATAAAACTATGCAGTAGTTCCGAGTGTTGACATATCCAGTAAGGTGAAACATCCCTCGTCTGTAAATCTAACATTCAACTGTTTATTGCGTAGTCAACAGCTGCTAGTTCGTGAAAATATTGAAATTATACCCATACTGAATTTAGTGTGGGTACGATTTCTGTATTTTCCTCAAAGCAGTATGGGCTGAACCTACAGAAATATTCGTTTTTCTGGCTTAATTTCCTTACAGACTTGTCAGGAGATCGCGTCATTGCTGCTTAAATAACCTATACTACAATCTGATAACACCGACCTCTGACATGATTCTTGTCTAAGATCGAACCTGTTTCACGAACTTCACTAACTTCTAAATAGCTCTTTTTTACTGATGGTTCCTATTCAAATTTATCAATAAGACAGCGAACATACGAATTTGCCTTAATATATGGCTCCACTAGAAATAGTATCTTGAACACAATGAACTAAAGTCACGTGTAGTGGTTACATCCGGTTGCCTTCATTCCAGCTGGTGTTGCTAATCTTAGTACAAAGAACTTTAAAGCAAGTTGAACACCCTGCACAACAACTGATATTGAATTAATTTATTTTCTAGGTCTTTATGTACTGCATGGAGTGGTTAGGAACTGATGTCATTAGAATAGTAAGACTTATAGGACAAAGCCCAGGTTCAAACTACACTTCAGAACTTCTACGAAATTTATGTCTTCATATCAGCTTGGTCTTCGACTTTGATATAAGCCCCAAACATCACAGTTACGAACTTGGTAAACTCAGTATCTGGTTTCAGGATCTCCTTAAATTAGTGGAAAGAACAACAAGTGATTTGGTAATCCTTCTGGATGATCTGCACGAACTAAAATGCCCTCCTAGTAACCAGTCATCTATATTAGGTTGGCTCCCTTGGAATTTACCTTCTAATGTTCATATAGTGTGTACTATCAGTGAAGAAGCTGATAGTGTATTAAGACTCCTTAAACCTAGGATTTCCACAGGAGATAATTTTGTTCAGATTTCTCCCTTAAATGCTCAATCTGCACTTAGTATGTTGCACTCTAATCTCAGAGATTCTAAATATAATCTGACAAACGAACAGTGGGATATTATTAAAGAGTGCTTTTCAACAATGTCTGTGTGTCCGCTATATGTCATCATGTTGTCCAAATACATCAAAAAGTGGCCATCTTGGAAAGGTATCATGAAAGAACAAGTACCTTCGAATCTGCAGGAGTTAGTTATTCGAATATTGATTGATATGGAAGACAGTTACGGAGTTGCTTTAATTACTAAAGTTGCTACTTATTTAACTTGTACTACTTATGGATTAAGAGAAGCTGAAATTGTTGAGCTTTTATCTTCTATGGATGATGATAGTTTCTCTCCTTCTTATTGGCTAAGCATCAAATCGTCGTTCAGTAAGTTGTGATATTTTATCTTGATTTATATTAAACTTAATCGTCATTTGTTTTCTAAGTAATTCGTTTTAGGATTAGGTGTTGTCCAAGGAAATTTCCAAAATTTACAACTTTTCGGTCACTCTCGTCGAACTGGAAAAATTTCTGTCTTTATTACATCTAATACAGTATTTCGAAGAAATCAGTTCCCACTGTACTCGGCTATAGATTGGTTCGGTTAAGCTTTCGTTTAAATTAAGTAATATTCCGGCTCTTTCGTCAGGGTTTCGTTTACGTCCCCAATTCCCTAATCGCTTAATTATTTAACTACATCTTAAGTAGAAATAAGTCGAAACCGGTTACTTTGTACTCGAATATTTGTAGTCTCGGGAAAAA